CTCTTATCTTCATCCATACCCACACCAACTCTCCGACACCGCTCATAGTTACTTGCTGCATTATATGAATACATTAAAACAATAATTGACTATTCTGCATTTATCCTTAAGGTTGTAACCTGAATGAAAAATTTCTTTTTATATTAGCTTTTTCAAGTTAAGCAAATTACATAAAAACAAGAAACTTGACTCAAAAAACACTGCATAAACAGGAATCTATGAAAGTCGTGTACTTGAGAGTGTGAGTGACAGTGGTATGTGAACACTGCTCAACGACACCGAAACTTACTGATACACCCGCTCACACCATCAACGATATGGTAAGAATGTTACTGAAGGTAAGTCACAATTGAAGAATTTCGATGTACAAAAGGATTTTACAAATTTTCAGTTCAATAATTTTCAAATAACTCTTCTGAAAAAAGTTGGTTTTTTTCCTCGAACAATAGTTCCATACGAAAAGCATGATTTTTTATAAAAAGAAGTTTTACGTAATAATAAGAGCTTGAAATTTTAAGAAGCCGACTTCAGATTCAGATTTTCTAACCCCGATTTGCTGCTGTCAACCTTTGTAGCTTATTGTTATTTTCTCGAAAAATTCTCTCCTTCATTCAGAAAATCAAACTCAACATTTTAAAGATCTGACATTGGATTCGGATTCTCCAACCCCGAAAACCGTTCGTCCAACTTCATTTTGCCTTTTTCTAAGAGCATACTTTTTTTGACCTTGGACCGGACAACAAGTATATAAGAATACGAACTTATTCTATTTGATATGACTCTTCCTACAGTCGAGGAAGTACCGTTATTTTCTCAATAAAAAAAACCATATCTGATTGGTCAGATTTCGAACCCATAAAAAGATTGGATGTAAAACGCAATCTCAGATTAAGAATTCTGGCCCTTGATAACCTATAGAAAGTTTCATCAAAAGATAGAAATAACTTAAAATAAAAAAATTTATTTCTGATTGTTCTGCTCTCTAGCCAATGTGAAGGTCGAGTGGAAAATTGGACTTCGGAATCGGATTCCCCTATCTCAACTGCCTTTAGTGAATCTTTACAAGTAAGCGCTCTATAAACTTTACTGCTGATGCTTTTCTGACCTTGCCACAAAGAGACAAATGCATTCCATTTTTTTACATTACTCTCGCTACAATGAAGGGAATAACGCAGGTTTTCTTGAATTTTTATGTGGAAATTTCAATAAGCTAATATCGTGTTCACAATAATATTTATCGAGGTTTTACTTCAAAGGTTTTTTCCTGCACTATGACATAATGGTAAGAGTATAGTATTTAAATGAAATCTGGGACATTTTGTTGTAAGTTTACTCGAAGACAAAGAGGTTTTCTTTGATCATTTGTCGAGACAAAGTGGAAACAAAAAAACAGAATTTCTTTTTAAGAAAAATCTATGTTCTATAATTATTTGCATGTTACATACATATGATCAAGTACAGGATTACTTGTATAATTCAATAATAAGTTTTATTCTCCAGTATATTTGTTCAACTTTTTAATCATTTCATCATCTGCTGTTATAACAAAAAAAACATTACGAACGAAGATGATTGTCATAATTATGATTGATTTTCAACATGATATATTTTAAAATAGATTGAATATTCAGTTGAACTAGATAATAGACTTTCAAGTATTCGACATGATCATAAAGATTCACAAGAAAATATAATTGTTTGAGACTGTTAATTTTTCCAGATATAATTTTGTTTTTATCATTCACTGGAAGTTTAAATAAAATATTTATGATGATTTGACATTTCTGGTTCTTTTCATGATCGAAAATGTAATTGTTTATACTTTAAGTTCTAATACGAAGTTTATAAGTATAATCGAAGCATATTTTACTAAAAGAAACACCATACATTATTTTATATAAAAAAAAATTGTCAATATATTGCATGAACAAACTAAGCAATGAATAGATTTCCTAATGGTTTTAACTTCAGATATCCATTGATATTCAAGACAAAACGATGAGATAGATTGATTAGGTCCTTCAGGATAAACAGAATATTGAGGTCCGTTACCCACATTTTCATAATAATGCAAATAAAATTTTTCTAATCGAAAAGCAATTATTTTCGATGACGCGCATCAAAAAAATGCTATATCTTGCAATTGAAGAATGATAGGTAAAACGTTTAATGTCGAATATATTTTTTAATGAATTGTTCACAATAATAAAACTTTGTATAACATGTTTCTATCATATTATGTGTTAAATTTGATAATGTGATTGGTAATATAGTTCGAATTATTGGATCAATCTCGTTCAAAAATGAAAGGTTTATAAGAGAGAATAAGAAACAGTTCTGTGAAAGTACAAGAATGATCAACAATAAGACACTGATAGTACTAAATTGTTTATTGATAGTCATTGACAGTGTAATTGGGCTACTATCTTCATCTAAAGTGAGTTTATTCGATTTTAATGTAGGTAGGGTGTGGGTGTGGGTGTCGGGATGTGGGTGTGGGAATGTGGGTGTGGGTGTGTGGGGTGTGGGTGTGAGTGTGGGTGCGGGTGTGGATGTGGATGTGGATGTGGGTGTTTTATAGATACTGCATCCAAAAGGAAACCCACACCAACAGCCCACGCCCACCCCAAAATACACCCACACCCACACACCAGAGATGTCCATCGCGGCTCAAAATCTGCCGCTGCCGCGCCGCGACCAAAATCAAACAAAGCTGCCGCGCCGCTGCCGCGCTGGTATTCGAAAAAATGTTTTGATTTTCAAGGCTTTGACTGATTTGCAATATAACTGATGCCGCTAATCGATCAGATTCGCTAAGTCTTACAGTATAGCATACATAAACATGCAGATTCTGTGCAAATTCATGAATTTTTGAAATTTTTTCCTAAAAAGCTGCCGCCGCCGCTGCCGCGACGGCAAAATAAAAACCTCTCCCGCACCGCTGCCGTGCCGCGATAGTTTTTGGAAAAAAATCTGCCGCTGCCGCGCCACCACCGCCACGGCGGCAGCGGCAGCGGCAGCGACGCGATGGGCATCTCTGCCACACACCCACACCCACACCCCACACCCATGGATTATCAATCGCTCATTAAACATGGCTTGAAAATTTTTGAGGTAGCCTGTTTGATACACTTTTTAATGCTGAAAAGTAAATGTAAATTGAATTTCTAATTTGAAGAAAATTCAGAGCTGAAATATGCATGAAGAATAGGAAAAAAATATACGAAAAATATGATTATTTACATGGTGACAGAATATCTTGTATGGCTTAAACAGAGGCTTGTTGCTACTTAGATCTCAAACATTTTATACTCATTGGATAGCCCTTGATTTACTCTATTCAAATCTGTGAAGAAATTTCTGGTGCCTTAAGAATCAGCAGAGAAATGCAGCTCGCACTGAAAACAAGTAAGAGCAAAAACCATGAAAAAGATAGTAGGGTCGACCTAGTTTTGAACCTGAGGCACCTGTATAATGAAGGTTGAAGAGAAGGTCATATATACAGTTTTGTAGAGTACACTTTGCTCTATCAAATGATATATTAGTCGAAAATATTCTGGTAACTTCGTATGAAGAAAATAATCAAATACTGACCAACCGAATTTAACATGAAAAAATTTTTTTTTTCATAAATCCTCTCGAGGGTCCTTCTAGTATTTACTTCGTAACTTTTTAAGGATACGCTAAAATGGGCTAAAAATTTGGATTTAGAGGTTTCTGGCCATGCTCTTTCGTTTGAAATCAAAAAAATATAGGGGTCAAAATCTTCGAGAGTATGGTCATGTTCGATGGAGTGGTGGACTGTCTCTTAAGAAACACGATTGACCTTTCTGCATAGCAACGAGAATTATATTGGTTAATTCACTTTGAATTAACTCAGTCTGTTTG